CGTCGCCACCGCTGGATTCGCCTCGAGATTCTGGTCAGAACGCACCCCGGGAGAGGTTCAGGGAGTAGCAGTATTGGTACTTTTTGGTTTCCCCTAAATTAAACGAGGAAAACCCGCACCGATCGCCATACCTCGCGTTTACTAAGCGGCCCATGGCGTTCACTAGACAGCCCGGTTCTGTTCGAATCCTTCCTTGGGTGCGTTTACTAAGCGGCTTCGCTCGTCGGGTGCTTACTATGAGAGTGATTTGTCTGCCCTCTCGACAAGTCGAGGCATCGATCACGGTGGGCGTCGTTTTCTTATTCATTGTTTTGCCGATCGGCGCGGGCTCTCGCACCCCCCTTCCCTCCCCCTTCCCCATGGGGTGGATCTGGGCTGTTTTCTTGGCGCCTGCTTCGAGCAGGTGGAGCTTCCCCGTGGGACGCACTGTTGCAAACAGTCGCATCAAACGGCGGTCCAGAGCCAGACCCCCCCCGTCTCCCCCCCTCCGCCCAGTGTCGAAACGCAGAATAAGAACACGTTTGCGTGAGGGCATCGGATGAGGAACCACTGCGTAGGGAGTCCAAGGTCCAGAGGCCGGTGGAACTCCCTTCGTGATTTTGCCTCGTCTGTCACCGCCGCCCTCAGCAGAGAAGGAACCTTCTCCAGGGCCAGGAGGCTCCTGGGAACATTCATTGAGGAACGCCTGCGCCGTAAGGCGTGTGGGTTAGCGACAGGTCCCGTTTCCGTATTCAAGCAGTGGCGAAGCGTCTTGGCTCGCCTATAGGCCCGCCAAAGAATGTTCTGATAACCTTGTGTGGTTTGCACGGACTGTTCTGAGGACATTTCTGGTTGAGACTGTTTTGTTTGAACACGTCGGGCTTATGTTCTAAAAACATTGTCTGGTGTTTTAGAACATTGTTGGGCTCAACGAACATGTCGCGGTAGGACTACAGGAGTGCTGGGAGGGTCGGCCCCTGCTCCACACACGACATCTGCGCGCTCTGTTGCCAGCTAAGACGGCGTTGGTGTCGTGATTCGGGGTACCTCTTTTGATCGACCTGGCGCCCACGCGCCAAAGCAACAGATCCCTGAACCATGCTTCAAGCAGTGGCGAAGCGTCCTGGCTCGCCTATAGCCGTACCAAGCAGTGTTCTAAGAACCTTTTTTGGTTCCCACGACATGTTCTTAGGACATTTCTGGCCAGGACTGTCTTGTTTTAATGCCTCGGGTTTATGTTCTAAGAACATTGTTTTTGTTCTTAGAACATTTTGGGGTTCTAAGAATATTTTGTGGTAGGACTATAGGAATGCGGGGACGGCCAGTCCCTGCTCAAATGCTGGCCTGCGCCTGAAAATGGTACCGATACCGCTGCGCTTGCCTCGAGTCTTGCTTGTTTGGGCCTCGTGTGGCGCCCTCGCCGCCACGGCCGGCCCCGCCTCGAGATTCTGGCCGGGGCGCTCCCCGGGGAGAGGTCCAGGGAGCAGCGGTGCCGGTGCCTCGGCCAGGTCGTCGCCATCTTTGGGCTCTGGAGGTCTCCAAGCAGTGGCGAAGCGTCCTGGCCTGCCTATAGGCCCACGGAAGAATGTTCCAAGGCCTTTTTGTGTGGTTTGCGCGACACGCTCGTCAAACAGTTCTGGCTGGGACTGTCCTGTTTTATTACGTCGCTTTGGTGTTCACTGTTTTTGTTACGGCCAGTCCGAGGTAGAAGGTCGAGGTCGGTCCGGGGAGGGTACCCTGATGTTCTTCGTGTTTGTTGGATGTTCTTGTGCATCCTGGGGGACGGTACCCTTGGATGTTCCGTGTGCTTTGACCGACGGAGGACCTCCTGCTCTTGAGGGATGTTCTTCTGGCCCAGGTCCGACTGTTGTCAAACATTCTTTGGTTCTGAGAACATGTCGTGGTAGGCCTCTGGGAATGCCGGGGCGGTCGATCCTTGCTCAAAGGTCGGTTGCGGGCCTCGGGGCCGTCAGCAAATCGGTCGTACGGAAGTCGAAGTCGACTACACGTAAGATTGACCTTCCGCCGGAGTGACCTTTGGTGCGGGCACAGTGTCGGCCACGCGCAGAAGGAGGCAGGTGGAGGGGGGAAGGCTTCTTAGAAGCACCCCTGCTCCTTAGAAGGCGCTGGCCTTATTCATAGATGTAGGGCTGGGGCCTTCTAAGAAGCGCAGGGTGCTTCTAAGAAGCCTTCCTCCCTCCCCCATTCCCCCTTGCGCGCGCCGCCAACAGTGGGGTCCCCCGATCGCCGAGCGCGAAACAGTAGCAGCGGCCTGCGCGCTCAGGTTTTGCCACCCCGCGTCGTATGATGTTCCAACCTACTTTAGCTTTGACTGCCAGGAATCATTTCGAGCACCAGCGAAGTACTGACACTTGAAGGTTTTCGCGCATCGGGCTCTGGGAGGCGACACTCGTTCGACACTGTTTCGACACCTTTCTGGGTGCTCGAGATTAGTTCTGGGATGTGGTCCTTACGTACGAGGGGAGCAGCACAACCCGCGTCCCCCGTGAAGCCGCGCACCACGGGTCACTCCTCCTGCGTGGGGCCGACAGAGGTCGGTTGCGGGCTTCGGGGCCGTCAGCAGAGCGGCCGGACGGAAGGGGGAGTTTTGGAGGCCTGGACATGGGCACCAACACCAACACGAGGGGTTGCTTCCACAGGGGGAGAGGATCCTAGATTTTGGTGTTGGTGGTGAGATGTCGGTCACCTTGGAAGCCAGAACAGCGGGGGTGGACAGGACCCCCACCCTCACGCGTCGATTAGGGAATTGCCCGTTTTCGGTTCTCGAGAGGGCGCCGCGGCCATCATTTTCCAGGCCTGCGCCCGCCAGGTTTGGGCCCGAGGTCGTGTTCATTCGACCGCGTTTTACTACAAGGGGTCCTGTTCATCCCCGAGGCTATTACCACCTAATTAGGGGGCCACATGCGAACCCTACCCCTACCCCCCACGATTTCAGAGGGGGAGGGTGGGGGTCACTTCGCTCGGGAGCTCCCCGCTCTGAGAGCGTTCCGGAACCCTCTCAGAGCGGCGCCCGAGACATGCTCCAGGGCCGCGGGATCTCAGAGGTTCTCGACGTACAGTCAATTCTCATAAAAAACGATGAGCAAATTTCCAAGGGTATCAGTATCGTTTAGCCGATCCCTAACCCCACCTTGATCCCTATCCCGATCCACACCATCTTACCACCCCAGTTGGGGATATGCCTCTCGAAACCCGAAGGGAAAAGCCTATATCCCCATCCAGGGGGGTGAATCGGCCAGTGGGGCCCAGGCAACGCCAGTGGGAATAGGGATCGGTAGATTGATGCCCAGGGCGCCCTCGCATCCTTGCCTCTTCGGTCATCTTCGGTCCATCCGCGGCTACTCTCGATGGCCAGCCCCGCTCGAAGAGCCTGGGCATGGCCCTCTCCGAGGCCTATGCATCCCCACCGCGCACCCGTGCCACCCAGACATCCGCCAGAATGATTCGATCCGCCGCCCCCAAGATTCCCCGGGGATGTTTTTTCGGCCCGCACGCATTCTGGATCCCAGAGATCCAGCGTATTGAAAAAATCAAGACGGAGGTTTTTCACAATTTTGGGCCTCTGGGGGCCCTCGCCGGGCTTCGGGACCGTCAAGAAACGGCTCAGGATGAAAAACTGGTCCTGGGGAATGGGTCGAGACTTCCGGGGACCGCGTATTGAAATTTCCACCACCACCACCATAAGTTGGAGGGGGAGGGGGTCCTCCTCCTCCTCCTCCTCCTCCTCCTCCTCCTCCTCCTCCTCCTTCCCCCC